AAGAGTTCGTCCGGGGAGGTACAGCCGCCTCACCTATTTCTGTTGCCAAATAGTAATGTGAGCATTACTGCTTGGCAGTTTCGATTATGAAGGGTAAGGGTGCTGGTAAAACTGCAAGCAAACGCGACTTGTCAACTTTATGTGTCAAGGCGACGGGCGCAGGAGCAGTGCTCAAAGTGGCATTGCAATTGTTACGGGTCGCTTATCATCAGGAGCATGACTTGTTCGTCCCCTCAATTTAAATTATAATAAAAAAAATTTGATAATTCCTTTTCCAAATTGGTCCTACCGGGAATCGAACCCGGGTTTGATAATTTATTAATAATAAGGTTAAACAACAATATACAACTGATAAAATAAATACGTTTTGTAAGAACTTTACTATCATTAATATTATTATATTATGAGCTTATACTGTCCCCATCCTTCCACACTTCTCTGTTTTGCGCCACTAAGATTCAGTCTTTTAGGTGCGCATCTAGCTCGTCTCTCCATCGACGCTTTGGTCTGTCGTGAAGTCGTTTCCTGTGTTTGGGGGTCTACGACCACCATGCAGCAGACGTGACCCGCCACATCGGCGTTAGTACAAAATTATAATTTATAATATTATTTTACTCCATAACTGATGTCTATTTACACATAGTAATAATACATATTATTTATAAATACTATATATACTATAAAATATATACATTTAAAATTAAATTTATTCTTCACTAAATGTGCTAACATTTGTTTTTGGGGCATCCCGTACACTTGTTAACAAACTTGTTTCCGTACGGTTCGCTCAGTGTCTAGTCGAATATTAAAATACTTTGCCGTCTTCACAGTTGTACAAATGTACGCCTCCAAATAAAGATAAAAACAATGTCTACCTACTTATAAATTTTTTTTTACATTTTGTATTGGTAGCAAGGAATGAATGGCATCGAGACAAACCCAAGTAGGGTTTAACGGTGTTTTACATTATTTATGTATATTTTTTCTTAAAACAATAAAATAAATAAATAAAATAATATATAATAAATTGTGGTTGTTCATCTAACCGACATCTGGGATTTTATAATGCTTTATGTGAGTAACGAGCTTTGCCGAATAAAACCGAGAAATGCTAAAGTCACGTGTTATGTGACTTTCAACGAATTCAAATTTTAAAACGCTCCCCTGTAAACTTGTCAATTTCGACATACGATACTTTACGTAGAAGGGGTCAAAATAATAGTATTGTATGTACTTATTTTAATTTTACTAATTCTTATTTTAGATGGCAAAACATCGAGTGAGGAAGGAGGAATTAAAACCGATACAAGACATTTGCGAAAACAGCAGTTTTGTTGTCTTAGGATGTGATTTGTTGAAAATTACTATGTCACAAGTTATTGCAGAAAATTTCTTCATATTGTATGTACTTGTTTGGTCAGAAGTGCCAATAAAACCAGAACAATTGATTATTTTGATTTTGATAGAGACTGATTTAATTTCATTGTAACAGAGCGTACAAAGTGCAGTTTTTGCATTTTAATTTAAGTAAATATTTACGGCATTTTAATGTAGCAGACCTGTAGTTTTATTCATATTTAAAACAAAATATACGCCCTATATCTAAAAACTACATTAGATACATCAATTAAATGAACCAACATACTGGACTCCATATTAGTTACAGCAAAATCACTTCTTGAATGTTAATGTGGTATTTTGTTGCCCCATATGTTACAATTTCGATATACAGCAAAATTGCTGCTTGGTTTTGAAAACGCAATTTCTGTAACTAGTATAAAACCCATGCTTAACCAATTATATAATAATTTTGTTAATCCTATTTAATAGTTGTTCCATTTATATATCATACTTTAAAATTGACTTTCTACTAATTCAAATTAAAGAGAAATAATTTTTTGAAATAGTTTTTCGGCCCTGGTGTTAAGTCCTATTTTTCGAGATACGACAAGATCGCTTTGAGGCGTCGATATGGATTGTGACTGTATACATACATATATTTAAAACAAATATTTAAAAAATAGGCGAAGCAAAAATATAAAAAATGATTGAACGTTTTCGAATATTGTGCAAATCATCTACTAACTGAACCAGAAAATAAGTACGTATCGAGGTTTGGGTAGTGTTACAATCAGAAGCAAACTATAATTGATAAAATTTTATATTTAAATTTTTTACAAAAACTAAAATGCACGTGCTTAAACCTGATCTTCAAAGAATAACAATATCTATAATATAGGATGTTAATCTAAATTAAGGACCGCGATAAGTGGCAACAAAGTAAGGCGCGTTATTGATGATTATGGCGACCAAGAAAGGACGATCTGCCACGAACCGCGGCGTTGGCGCCGGGTTTATTATAGCGCTGCACATCACCACGCCAAACGCTGAAATGCAATCATTTGCCAAATAACTGAATATCTGATTTCTTTGACAGACATTATTACTTATATATACTCCAACATTACTCCATAGTATAGTAACCACAGACATATATCTAGATAGACGCTGCAAGTACAGCAATTTGTATGAAAACCAAGCGTGCCACATTTTTTGTACCCGCTATGACGTCACAAGAACTATTTAGTGATGGAAACCTCCTTCCGCTCGCTCCAAATCGATTGATTGAACGGACTACGCGTAAACACGCGTATTCCATTCAAATAATCGATTCTAAATATAATAATTTTTGTTCAAGTATTTGTTGATTACAAGTAGTCGTAATATTAATATAGTAGAAAAATACTCGAATTAGATAGTTAAGTCCTTTATTTTACTTGTTTTTAAAGAATGTTGATTACTTAAAAAAAATTAAGACTAATTTTTAATCGCCTAATATTATTGTCCTTCCAATAAAAAGAGCTTATGATATCGGTTAACTGAAATAATAAAAACGCACGTCAGTATGAACTTGCGACTGCCTTAATTAATTTTACTAGATGGTTTTCTTTTGGTAATTGATCAAATTGATGAATGGCAAAAGAAATGAAAATGTTACTGCTGACAAAATATGGTAAAATCCTATTAATCAGAAGAGGTTTACTTAATGACGGCCTCGTGAGAAATTTTTGTGATTTGTTTATTATTTCTCGGATTTCTAACTCTTCTACTCTGCATATTTGGATAGCTTCTTAGGTGGGATAAACAAGACGACCTTCGTCCTCGAAAGCAACGAACTCATACGTATAACTAACTAGGTTTTTGAAAAGACAGCGCACTGCTAACTCTTTGCATTATATATTTTTTTGTATTACTCGTACAGTCAAGAGCACGTCAAGCTTGACACTTTGTACTTTGGGCCGTTCTTATCGTAAGCGGCATAGAGTTGGATTTAAGTCTTTAAGTCAAGCTTGACATGCTCTTGACCCTCCGGCGATGTATTTAATTATTTGCTTATTATATTCGAACATTCGAGGACACGTGCGGCAAAAATTATCGAAATTACAGATACTACTGATAATAAATACTACAAAACTGAAAAAAAAAAAACGAAACGTTACTAAACTTTATAACAAAAGACTTATACAATATTTTGTATAATATTACTAAGGTCATAATAATTTTTGTCCCATTGTTTTCAAAATCGATCAGAATCGAGAACAGTGTTGCCTAACGTATATATACATCACTAAATGTTAAATTTGGCCAAAGAAATGTACAAGCGGACGTACCACAAAACTGAATCCATTATACAAAAGTGCATTCGTTCGATATTCATAGCGTATTAACGAAAGATCACAAATATGTCGCACCAAGTAAAAGCCGCAATGTATTACAAACATGAGGTTGCATATTTGTTTTCTCGAAATTCATACAAAACCAAAATAATTGTTTTTAAAATAAATTATGCTATGGATGCTATTCGGAAGTGTTAAGTCCCTTCTAGACCAAGGACGTTGTAACACGTCCGAAACGTCGAGGCAAATAAACTACATTTTATATACGATAAGTCCCGGTTAAAAAATATATATATACTATGTTATCTCACTATACGACTAACAAAAAATTACTCAACAAATTTTTACTCTCGTATCCGTACGCTTAAGCATACCACATACAACAACGTCATTGCTATAGGACACTGGAGCGCACAATATTATTTAAAAATATAAATAATCTACCCACAAATAAGTAAGATACCAAAAAAAAACCTAACAGGTTTAATAAGACTAAGGGAAATAAATATTTAACTAACGTAATTCCACCGTGCTTACAACATGAACAGTAAATATGAAATACATGAATAGGTAGACTTACTGTTGTTATCGTAATCACAACAGAATTACTGAATTTGAATACTTAAAACATATATTAAAATTATAACTTTTTTAATAAAAATAAAAACAAGCTCAAAAGTTTGTGGAATAACATCTAAGTATTTGCCAAGTTTTATAGAAATCGGATAACGGAAAGTGGGTGAAATCCAATACACCAGAGATTCATCCCTTGATTTTCCAACTTCAGAGCACTAAGCGTGAAATATTTTCTTTCAGTTTGAATGCGACCACTACTGAGGTACCTCCTTTCCAACAAAAAAAGAATCATCGAAATTGGTTCACAAATGTCTAAGTAATCGCGAACATACACACAAAAAAACAGTTGAATTGAGAATCGCCTCCTTTTTTATAGTCGATTAAAAAGGTACATAAATAGACATTTTACCACGAGGCTGGATATATAAAAAGTCAGGTATATGACTTCTTCTTTAAAGTGCAGCCACCCCAAAAAATTAAGCAAATTCAAAACTTGGTAAAATCATCAAAGAAGGAAATCTAAAACTAGACGACCTTGAAAGAGTTAAAATGAGAACAAAGTGCTGATTGTAACATTTTATGTACAGTATTTTAACTTGACAAAATAACGGACAAAATGTAACATTTTCACGAAGATCCGTGTTCAAATTGTTATACAAGTAATTAGGGTTTCCTGAACATGCGAATTTTGTTCTCGAATTTATGAGCCGCGATAAGTGGCGACGAAATATGGCGTGTTCCTGGCGATGATTGCGACCAGGAATGGACGGTTGGCTACGAACTGATGCGGCATTGAGACTATTGCACACCGCATCATCACCACTGCCGCTGAAATAGAACCATGTCACTATTTGTGAACGTCAGTCGACAAAAACTACGTTAGATGATTTTAAACTCACGCAATACTGCGATGGAGTATAGAAATATGAATATGTATAAGTACATAATGGAATTCAACACACTTAATAGCTCTCTATATATTTTATGCACAAATATATTATTGTATGACATAAATAATATATTCTTGTATATAACTTTTGTTATAAATAATGTAATAAAAATATATTACTGCCAAAATTATCAGAGTATGGTGCTGAAAAGCCATTAGTTACAAACATCGAGTTAAGTTTTCTCGATTGATATAATTGAAAATGAAACTATTTTTTTAGATCAATATCAGCCGTGACTAAGGGACTGTAATGACCCCGAAATATTGGCTTATTTGGAAAAACAAATATACGCGATGTATTCAATAAAATAAATCAATAATGCATTTAATAAGCAACATCAACGTCAGCTTGTGGCAGCTGTAAAGGTACCGTCTGAGGGAGAAGGTTCATAAATCTCTCACAAGGTGTCGCTTAAAAAGCAGAAAAAGATCTATAACAGACACGAAAGAATTTCATCGACCTGCTGACTCAACCTATTAGCTCGGCGACGCTACGGTACAGCGTGGTCGCAGGTTCAATTCCTATTGGGTCGAAGAAATGTTTATTTGTGGTCGATCTTTGTATTAATAATTATTAAAAAAATGTGCAGTTATTTCACAAAATATACGTAAATCACGGTCGTACAATATCGTGAAATTCAATTTAAAAAAAAACGCGATTTCGATCCGCAAAGAATAGTTTAATTTCCAAAGTTTGAATAAATTACAAAATGAAAATTATTTTATTAATTTGTATTATTACTTCTTAACTTATTCTTACCATTTGAAAATAAAAGACAGGACTAAAGTCGGAAGAAGTAAGGAAAATGGGAGAAGACGTAGACAGGAACTGAATTAACACAAAATATACATTTAGATTATATAAAAGTTTATGACAGTATAAAATAAATAACTCCTTGACATAAATTTTATAACTATTATAGAAAAGTAATTATTTATTGTAGTTACTTTATATAATCTTAGTCCTTATTTTATAGAGAGTTTATTTTATGGTCCACGGTAGGTGGCAACGAAGTAAGGCGCGTTCTCGGCGATAATGGCGACCAGAAATGGTCGGTCCGCCACGAACACCTGTGCTGGTGGCTCAATAACGAACGACAGCGTCATAGCTACCATAGCTGTAATACAATTTTCTACTTCATACACTTGCACGTCACCCATAAACTCACAAGCCTACACCATACGAAGACGACACAACACATAAACTACAAATAAACACAACAACTACAAATAAAATCGCATAATGATAAATATACGTTTAATGTAATTTAACTCCTTTAGAACAATAACAAATTATTACGACTGCTTCTTTATTTTCCTATAGTGTTACATTTGTGGTTTGTTATTACTTATTACTTATGCAATTGTTTTCAATTGTATTGAAACTGGGTTTTTCATGTAGTATCACCACTGTCGCCTTGGAAATAGCCAGAGAATATAATAGTGTTATCCGAGGCTAGGAGTAGATAGAGGAACGGGCGATCCGCAACGAAGGATGAAAGGGGTAGAGGGGCGCTGCGTAGCATGAGTACTGCTCCTGTGCAGGGAGTAACGCTACTGGTATCTCATCCATGGAGGCAGGCGGTGCGCGAAGTACCTTGAGACTTGTGTTATAACTCATCGTGTGAGGCGGGGGGTGGCTCGCTAGGCTGATGGCGCACTAGGAAGACGAGGTGCTGCTCTATCATGAGGCACCAGAGCGCTGGTCGGTCCACGTGGAACTCGCGCTGCAGATCGGCTATTGCAATCGCGCGCCTCGTTCGCACCACCGCTGTTGTCACCGGACATAATACGGTTCACCGTCAGCGTTTGGACACATACGCAACACCGCCCACTTCCACCATGTTATTCATTACTACAGATAACTCGTTCATGTACAGTATTTAAATAATGCCGCACACAAAAAAATCTTTGTGTCGTAGTGTTTATATTGATTCAATATAAAATGTTCAATGTAAATCAATGAATTTTATCAGTACCTACGTTGTTGATACTCTACGGAGAAACAGTAGGAGGCAACTACACAGAAAGCAGTTGGTTTTTTAAGATCCATATAGCGAAACGGGCTACTCAGTACTATAATCATATTATGGTATTTCTTTTTAGGGCAAACGCCATTACTGTCCATGAACGGGTTAAATACGTTATGGCTACGTACTCTCAATTTAATAAGGATTGAGAGTTATTTATTGTTAATACACCCTTACACCGTTACGAATAACAAGTTTAAGAGAAAACTGTTGCGAATGCATTGATGTTTATAGCTTGTTCTAATCATGGAAATTTTATAGCTCGTCCTAATTATAAAAATTTTGTTTTATTGTGAGTCTATTGATTTTCATAGCTCGTCCTAATTATGGAAAGAACGATGGTAAACTCCTATATAAATTTTTGTTGACATAATTTGTATGAAAAATATGTGAAAAACTAACTCAGTTTCAGACTTCTGTAGTTTATTTTATATAATAATACACCGCATATATTTCATTCAATTTATGTAAAACATAGGACCTCCACAAGCTGCCCCCTATCACGTTCGACGATGTCGACGTCACCAGGCTACTTAAGGACATCACGTCCCTAAAAGCAAGGCTTGCCGAAATTCGGTGTAAATTGGAAGCCTCGGATAACACCATCAGTGAATTACGTGCCCAAATTCTGTTACTTAGTAGTGTAGCTTCTGAAGCTGCACTACTAAGTAAGAGAACTTACAGAAGTAAGTGGGTCACCCGAGACCTGACACGTGAAAACTTGTCGCGCGGCGCATCTATTGGCAGTTTTGAGTCGGCCCATACGGATGTGTCACCGTGTGTGACCGCTGCTACCCGCGCGCGTATCCACGCGCCCCGCCCCTTGTTTTCCCGCCCCGGCGGCGGCGGAGACGTCACGCGTAAGCACGTTGACCCCTCGACGTGATTACTTTGTTGTTGCCGCTGCTACCCAACTAATTGCTCCACAACCAGAACCTAGGTGACCAACGATGGGGAAAAAGAAAAAACGGAAACTCATCTCTCGAGCTGTGTCGTCAGTACCACCGAGATCTACTCCTCTCGTGCGGCGACGACTGCTTCAAAAAGGTGGAAAAGAAAAAGAAGTGCACTAGCCGTAACCTTAGTGGCACCAGCCTGACTGGCGCCAATCATCTATTGCTTGCGTCCAGCGGTACCAACGACATTGCTATACATATTATGACTTCATTACTCCACAAAGTCTGCGGATATTGTGGAGTACATACGGGTGAAAGCCAATGCTGCCCTGAAGATCGCGCAGTTGGAGTCCCGCCACAATGCGAATTTTAATTCATTTGTGGTGAGAGTATCAACTCAACACCTGTCGACCTTCATGAAGGAGGACTTTTGGCCGAAAGGTGTCAAGTTCCGGCATTTCCGAGGACGGTTACCGAACATCCACGTTGCGTCATACGTCGCGGTCCATACGTGTAAATAGTGTTAGTGTTTTATTATATTATTATGTATGTTAGACTATAAGGTATGTATTTATAGGTATTTTGTAACTTGAAAATAAATAAATAAAAACTTCAAACTGGAATATTATTAATTCCAGACCTCTCAGAACAGTAAACCCAAAACGAAATTTTGTTCAGAAATTAACAAAAATATATATAGATACGGTATAAAATAAATACGTCCTTGACATGGATTTTGTGACTATTATAGGAAAGTAATTATTTCTTGTTAAAAGTAACTACTTTATATATACAATCTTAGTTCATAATTTATAGATAGCTTATATTATGGTACACGGTACGTGGCGACGAAATAAGGCGCGTTCTCGGCGATAACGGCGACCAGGGGACTTACCACAACCTCTTAAAACAATATTACTTTAACCTTACATTGACTTTTCGTACCAAAACGCGCTTAAAGTAAGCTTATTTGTAATGTTAAAACTATGATGTTTTAATAGCAGCTTTGTGACTATTCATTCACTCAGTTCGTACTATGACGCGACTTTGATATTAAAGTAAAATTGCTCTTATGTCAATCTTAGCAATCTTACAATAGTGACACGGATACAATGGAAAAAATATTATTTTCAGTTTTATTATCTTAATATTGATTTGTAATGATTAAAAGTTAAGTTGAACTTATTTATTTACATATATCTCTTCAATATTTTGTTTATTTTTTATTTAATAGCACAAAGGAAATAATTTCTCGTAAATTAAAAATACGCGATGTTTATTTCGTAAAATTATGACAGCTCCATCTATATACTCCTTGGCGAAACTAAGAGTTGACATTAGACTATGGTTCCGAATTTACAACGTATTTATCAAGACTCAGCTTGATTTATTTATTTTTCTTCATGAAAATGCGGAATGATAATTGAAAACAACGTAATTTTAATAGATTTCATTATTACATACCTTTCTTTTTTTGGCAGTTAAAATTCTCTGAATGTAATTATTTTTAAGTACTTTAACATTATACTACTATAACACGATTCGGAACATCAAAAAAGAAAGAGATGGCATTATATAGTGCATATAGCGTTATTTCTTTCCTACTTTTAGTAAGGAATAGACAATATTGGGAAGTCATTCGTTCTTTCAGTCACTTTAGCAATAATGCGTTGCTTAGTTGATAGGTTTGTCATGGTACGAAAATGAGTAATATTACAATATAAAATAAACAAAATATTGAAGAGATACATGTAAATAAATAAGTTCAACTTAACTTTTAACCACTGCAAATCGATATTAAAACAATAAAACTGAAAATAATATTGTTTCCATTGCATTCCTGTAACTATTTTAAGATTGCTAAATTTCACATAAAAGCAATATTACTTTACTGTCAAAGTCGCGTCATAGTACGAACTGAGCGAATGAATAGTCACAAAGCTGCCAACAAAATATCATAGTTTTAACATAGCAAATAAACTTACTTTAAGCGCGTTATGGTACGAAAAGACAATGTAAGGTTAAAGTAATATTGTTTTAAGAGGTTGTCGTAGGCCCCCAGGAATGGTCGGTCCGCCACGAACACCTGTGCTGGTGGCTCAATTACGAACGACAGCGTCATAGCTACCATAGCTGTAATACAATTTTCTACTTCATACACTTGCACGTCACCCATAAACTCACAAGCCTACACCATACGAAGACGCCACAACACATAATAAGACACAACAACTACAAATAAAATCGCATAATGATAAATATACATTTAATGTAATTTAGCTCCTTTAGAACAATAACTGCTTGCACTGCTCTTTAGCAGTTTTAAAACTTAACCAAATTATTTTCCTATACTGTTACATTTGTGGTCTGTTAGTACTTATTACTCATGCAATTTTTTTCTATTGTATTGAAACTGCGTTTTTCATGTAGTATCATCACAGTCGCCTTGGAAATAGCCAGAGAATATAATAGTGTTATCCGAGGCTAGGAGTAGATAGAGGAACGGGCGATCCGCAACGAAGGGTGGAGGGGGTAAAGGAGCGCTGAATAGCATGACTACTGCTCCTGTGTAGGGAATAACGCCACTGATATCTCATCCATGGAGGCAGGCGGTGCGCGAAGTACCTTGAAACTTGGTTATAACTCATCGTATGAGGCGGGGGTGGCTCGCTAGGCTAATTGTGCACTAGGAAAATGAGGCTGCTCTATGAGGCAACAGAGCGCTGGTCGATGGACGTGGAACTGGAGCTGCAAGTTCGCTATCGCACACATTTCACAGCTCCGCTGCTGTCACCGGACGTAATACGGTTCACCGTCAGCGTTCGGCCATATACGCGACACCGCCCACTTCCATTATATTATTCGTTACTACAGTTAACTCGTTCATTTACTTAAATAGTACCGCACACAAAAATCTTTTCTTTATGCCGCCGTATTGATACAATATAAAATGTAAATCACTGCAAGCAAGCACTGTAAAGCCCTTAATTGGTTTTTTGAGATCCATATAGCGAAACGGGCTACTCTGTACCATCATATTCTGGTATTTAATTTTACGGTAAACGCCATTACTGTCCATGAACGAATTAAATACATTATGGCTACTTGCTGTCTATTTAATAAGGAATGACAATTATTTATTGTTAATACACCCTTAGGGCGCGTTTCCATTACGTCGTAACGTTTAATTTATCGTTGAACGACTGTCGTGTCTAGCTGTTCCCACTAGATCGTGACGACAATTTATCGGTTCACGGCAGCCGCCTTGTGGTTTGCACGACAGAATCGTTTGAAGCTGCGATTATCTGTCGTCACATTTTTATCGTGGCGTTTTAATTATCGTCAGACGACTGTCGTTCTAGCTCTTCCCATTCACGACAGTCTGTCGTCGTAACGTCAAAAAAGTCGTGAACGACAGTTAATCGTGTTGCTCTACGTGTGAACAAATTCATTGAAATATACAAGTCACGACACTTTAAACTGCACGACTAGCTACCGTCACAGTATGAAGGGAACGTGTCCTATGACAATTTTACGAGAAAACTGTTGCGAGTATTGATGTTTATAGCTTGTCCTAACCATGGAAATTTTTATTGCTCGTCCTAATAATGAAAATTTCGGTTCGTTGTAAGTCTATTGATTTTTATAGCTTGTCCTAATTACTGTTAACTAATTAAAAATACGTGAAAATATATAGTTTCAATTCCTGAAATTTAAACCATATATTTTCACATATTTTTCATAAACAGACGCATACAAATTATGTCAAAAAAAATGTGGGAATTTGCCAATGTTCTTTCCGTTATTAGGACGAGCTATAAAAATCAACAGACATTTGTACAGACAAGTTTGGTTTTGAGTTTTCTATTCTGAGCAGTCTGGAATCAATCGAGTATATAACCGGAAATAGAGACGAAATAAGGGCCATCCATCCCTGGCAACTCATCAGGTAAGTGGGACTTACTTATATCGCTTTTAAATATCAACTCTCGTTTGCGCTAAAGTCAGAAATTAGAAAACTGAAATAGTACAGCGCCCTCAACTGACCTGTATGTACGTCTCCGTATATTCCAAAAATATTCTGTATTTATTGTAATAAAAATAACATCACTAACAATGTGGGCTGTTCCATTGGGTGGTGTGGGAAACACCACCAAATGGAACAAAAAAACAGCAAAACATCTAATTACAAACAAACGGAATCACATTTCATCGGTAATTAAAATATGAAATATGTAATTGTACATTTAAGGTACATTGACAATTTTAAGGTACAAGCAAAGCCCAAGTTAAACTGGTCGATTTGAAGTGAAGCAATTGACGACAACCCTCAATTGTTTCGAAATCGGGCTGGCCAATCGGAGCACAGTTGTCACAGTAATGATTAGGCAGAATAGTTTTCAAACAAATTAAATGACATTTCGTCTCTATTTCTGCTTAGATACTCGATGTCTGGAATTAAAGAATCATTACATTTGATATTACTTGAATTAATTTAATGTAAGTGTGCTTGTGTAATCCAAGACCTCCACTGCATGAAAACTTGATGCAGTCGTGGTCTCGGGTGCATAAAGTTGATTACGACTTCACGCATTAACTGCAAACATGAAGTTAATTTATTACAGCCTTGACAATCCTTTTAACAATGATTTCGCTCTTGTTCTTGTGGTTGGTTGCGGGTCTACTGATTGTTATATCTCGTCCTAATCATAGAAAATTCGAATTTATTGATTTTTATTGATCGTCGCAAATAATAAAAATTTCGGTTCACATAAGTTTTTATGGAACGCATTTTTTTCATGTAGGTAATAGTACCTACATGAAAAAAATGCGTATATATAATGTATCTATGTAAAGTTTACATATCAAAAGAATTTATAGATAAAATGTACAACATTTTCGTGCAAAACAACAGAACCTGAACATACCTAAGCTGATAAGAGTAACCTCCACCACATGCAATATTAATGACTTATTATGACTAATAATGGGTTTCACAATACCTAAATATTCGCAATCAGTACAGCATGAAAACTTTTGAAGATCTTTTAGTATCACAATTTAAGGTCTGCGTCTATAGACGCATGGTCAAAAGCTATAAGCATCAATGGCTGGAGCTAGTCTTAATTTAGTAATGTAATGTGAGCAAAGGTTCATACATCGCTCATCCGGTGTAACGACACAATACTAAAAACAAACAAAATAACACGACGTTGTTAACCTAAAATATATTTACGGAGAAAACGAAAACTTTCATATATTTCTCACAAATGGCGCTAACGCAAAAAAGTCGTTAAAACCCAAAAAACAAGCACATAGAAAACTTCGTAATGTCTGCTGGGTCGTTCCATAGCTCAGTTGGGAGAGCGGCATGCACGGTACGCTGAAGGCGCTGGTTCGAATCCAGCCTGATCTAAGGAACTTTTCTTGGTGTTCGATACTTATACGAATAAATAAAATAAAGACGTTAATGTAATTTCAAGACTAAGGTCTTCGAATGATAACATGATGCAAAAGTCATTGTAGCAAGGAATAAAATTGAAACGGAAAAGTTACAATTTATTATGTCTAGGAAAATTCTACGTGTATAATTGTCTAGGAAAATTCTGCGCGTATAATTATACATTTGTTACATCGTATGAGCGATATAGAAAGACGAAACAGAAAAACATTAATCAGCTCATGAGTCGCAACAGCGGGCAAAAATGCTAATTTAAAACAAATACTAATACTATAGCACATCACCCCACAAATAACATAAAATTCATTCAATGGACTAAACAGACTTTGATAGGTACTAATAACATTCTTTTATATTATATGGTATTATGTACTTCAGAAGCAGTAGAACTCCTTGTCAAAGAGCTCACCAGGATTTTTTTTTGTACTGCTACCGTACCTATTTCTGCCGCCAAGTCATAATGTGACCATTATTGCGTTCCAGTTTTGAAGGGTAAAAGTGCTGGTGAAACTACGTGTCAAACAACAGTCAAGAGCACTTTGGACCGTTCTTATCGTAGGCGGCATAGAGTTGGATTTAAATCTTAAGTGTCAAGCTTGACGTGCTCTTGACCCTGTACCTGTAGTACGTAAGGGGCTTGCCAACTTTATGTCTCAGGGTGACCAGCAGTATTGCCAGATGATCGCTTAAGGTCTCCATACCCTTCAATCCTTCTTCTTGGTCAAATTACAGGCACGTGGGACTTATGAAGTTATGTCTCATGATGACGGGCGCAGTGGCAGTGCCCTTCAGATCTTTGCGATTTAAAGCTCTGAGCGGCACTTCAACTGTAATGGACAGGCGTGTATCTTACCATCAGGCGCACGACTCGTTCGGCCCATCACTTGATATTATAAAAAAAATTCGGAACATGGAATTGCTTTGAGGTAGATGCAGGCTCTTCGACTTGTATCTACCTGCACAGTGAGTCCTTCCACTTATAAATTTTTCTTATCAAAATCCAACACACGTCACATCAGTATATTTTAATCGTTTATCAGAGCAAAAGAGCTTGCAGAGAGTATGAAACTCACAGGGACAATTCGTCTCTTTAGTCCATCCAATAAATCGTAAAAAAAGTGACAATGGTGTCTTACCGGTGGCAGCCGCTGCTTCAGCGCCCTCTTCGTTCACCTCGATAAAAGCCTTCTGCACAGCTTTGGACACATACAAAGGTTCTGGGCTCTTCAACATGTTATCGAGACCTGACTTTTGTGCGTTGAAAATTGATGTAATACCCAACTGAAAACAGTAAAATCTTTTGAGATATATTAAATAATATCTACCTATTTTGCCCTCCCCTTCATAACTGACGCATTTACATTTCTGTAACTTTTTTCAGCAGTAGAGCTCCTTACGAAAGAGTTCGTCCAGGAAAGTATTGACACCTTACCTATTTCTGCCGCCAAGCAGTAATGTGAACATTACTGTATTCCGGTTTCAAACAGTAAGGGTGCTAGTGAAATTACAGGCACATGGGACTGGTCAACTTATGTCACAGGGTGTCGGGCGCAGTGACAGTACCCCTCAGACCTTTGTGATTTAAAGCTCTTTGTGGACTACAACAACTATTATGGACAGGCGTGTCGCTTCTTACTAGGCGCACGATTTGTTCGCCTCGTCACTTACTGTCATCAAAAAAAGTGCCCCGGAATGCGTTCTTGATGTCGCTGCAGTTACTGTGGTCCAGGGCAGTTCCTAATTTTTTTTTTGACACCAGGTAAACCAGTGTGGTTGTATAACACATTATTATTATTATTAGAGTAATTTACCTTGGGCAGAACTTGCAACAGATCAATTTCAGTCTCTATCTTGAACTTAGGAATGGTGACCTGCACCTTTACGCTGAATGTATTTTTCAAGGCCGACATGAGGTCGAATCCCTCAGCAAGTTTGGTCAACACATTGTCCAAGCCATCAACTTGACTTGGCAATATGATCGCCATACTTGCTGATTTGCCTTTGTATGGCATTATTAGAATCTGCAAAATATTCACGCTGTCAAAAGCAAATACACTACGCGCATATGTTAGAGCAGTTACACATGACTGCATCAATACAAACGCGCTATTGCATCACGGGATTTAGGTGATTGCATCGATGCAATCGCGTCTGTATCGATGCAGTCGCGCGTTTGCATCGATGCAATCGCCCATAAATCGCAAGCGTAGCGATGCAGTTGCTGAGTCGCCATGTGTAACCACTCTTAGGCTCAGTTTACATTGCCGCGGAAAGAATGTATATTTATGGAAACTATAGCATAACGAACTTACTAACTATGTCAATTGTGTAACATATAAACTAGCTACGAACAAAAAACATGTCGCGCGTTTAATTTTTAACAAAATTTTTACCCGTTTAACAGAGAACACACAGTATCGGTAATTTTACAGCTACCATATCGTATCTATTTTCTACGTTACGTGTAAGTATAATCTTGGAAATAAGCTTTATTGATAGAGACACATTAGTTTTGCTGGCAAGAGATCGAGTCGTGTAATTTTAGATTCAGTAACTCAAATTTTTTCATACAATACATTTCATTACACAAATGTCAAGGCCAGTCAATGCGTTTAGGCAAATATACGACTATTAGGCTAAGAACTCACGGATCAGTATTCCCGCCGCGATTTGCGGAGCCGCGGGTCCGTAGAATGTAGGTGTGTATGTAAAATTTAGTAGCATATTTCACAATGCGTTTTACGTCAGTGGCAGGGACCATTGCTCACGGTAACCGCTGTGTTTGCGAGGTAGTAATAGAGCCGCGCAAGGCGTTTAGCAACTGTCGCCCGCGTACTCTGCGATTGGTTCGCCGGCGACCATCTCGATTCGTCGTAACTAACCACGCGACTTGCGATCCGGTCCGCAACCACGATGGCTAAGTGGCCGCACAAACCTGCGATCACAGAAACAGCTGTCCCGCATCCGTGTCGGGCGAGTTCTTAGCCTTATACGTTTGTACGTGTTTTGTAATTATTCCAATCGTCCCAATAAGAACAAAGAAGAAGAAAATAGTAAGAGAACAGCCAATCACAGATCTGAAATAAAGTCATAATTGAGACTGCGAGTTTACATCAAATACCATACCTGTGAGTCGAGGCCCTGGCACTCTGCGTAAGGGAATTCATCTTCTTTGTACATCATCGGAATATTGATCTTGGTGGTACTGTTGACGTGGAATGGCTTATCTTGTGTAAGTTCGGGGTTAAATTTAGAATCCCAGTCACCCTGAATATAAGTTAAAACTCCAATTGAATATTTTCAATAATTCATATAAAAATGTTAATTAATTTTTGAATATCATGATGTTTTACTCCGCTAGTTTGTTATTATTATTGATACAAAAATGGAATAAACACAAAGAAGCTACGTTGAGGCAACAGACACGGGTTTGGTTCCAGTCGGATTTAAGGAACCTCTCTTTGTGTTTGTTCAATGTTTCTATTCTTTTTAAATGAATACCGCCATAACGTTTATTGTATATTCTGCTTTTATTGTAAATTATAAGTCTAACCTAAAAAATCTATAAACGGTCTTATTATTATCAATAAATGATGTAAATGATCGTAGTAAGCTGTCGACATTATTTAATAAAAAAAAAATAGGTAAGGATAATTTTAATATACATTTCTCTCGTGAGTTTGGGTGTAATTTGTGGTTGTCTATATGTACATATGTCTATGGCACCCGCGATACA